GCCCCGGGAGGAGGCCCGGCCCGCCGAGGGCGAGGGAATCCCCGAGACAAGGTCTGAGAAGGGGCGTCCGAGATGCCCAGGACCCTCAGGGCGGCGCGCGCGCGGCAGGAAAACCCACAGCACCTTAGCGCCCAGGGAGAAGACACAGAGGGAATGGATGTGTATGGCGGGTTCCCTGCTTAGTCTGCTTGTCAAAAGCGTGTGTTGTCCCCACAGCTTGTTGATTTGGGGGTGCTCCGCATCTGTTGGGATCCGAAAGTCTGGATCTCCTTGGGTGCACCAGGGAGAGCCCCTGGGGAGGATTCTGTTTATAAATGGGCTTATCTTCTCCTAACTCCCCACGCACAAGACTGAGTAGAGCACTCTCCCCAGGGACGTACAACCGCCAGGCAAAGGAAACCCTAACTTTTCTTCCTTTCCCCAGAGACAGCACAAGGCTGGCCCCAGACAGGAGCCCAGTCCTGTGGGACCTGCAATTCCTAGTCCCTCTTCCCTTCTCACACCAAGCCTGTCTCCTCTTCCAGGATTTGCTACTGTTTCTGCTGTTCCCTCCTCCCCACAGGGGCCCTCTCCCCTCTCCCCTCTCAAGATGGCAGCCAGCCCCTCCGAGGTCTCTTCGATGAAGGGGGTGGAAGAGAGTCCTGAGGCCCAGGGAGAAGGGCCTGGCAGTTCTGAAGCTGGAACTGGCTCTCTCCCGGCCCCAGCAGGGGTCCCAGACCAGCCAGTGGCCCTGCAGCCGGGCCCAGACACTACTGCAGTCTCTGTGGACTTGGGGCCCATGGCTTCGCTGGCTCCAGAAACTACAGAGACCCGGAGTGGGGGCCCAGAAACAGCCCAGACTACAGACCCCAGCTTAGGCCCAGGAGGGGAGTCAAAGGCCAACTGCAGCGCTGAAGTGTGCCAGGAGCCAGCTTCCAAAGCAGCAGCGAACAAAGAGGCCCCTGCATACCAGGGGTCAGAGCAGGAGTGTGCAGCCCCACCTGAGCCAGCCTCAGAGCCTGCTCACAAGCTAGACCCCCAGTCAGGCCCCCAGTCAGCTTCCCAGCCCACTCCTAAACCAGCCCTTCAGCCAGAGCCCCCTACCCAAGAGGACCCCACCCCTGAGGTCCTTACCGAGGATGTGGGGGAAAAGCAAGAGAATGGGGCAGTGGTCCCTCTGCAGGCTGGTGATGGGGAAGAGGGCCCAGCCCCCCACCCTCACTCGTCCCCCTCGACGAAAGCCTCCTCAGCCAATGGGGCTCCTCCCCGGGTGCTGCAGCAGCTGGTTGAGGAGGACCGGATAGGAAGGGCTCACAGTGGGCACCCAGGATCTCCTCGAGGCAGCCTGAGCCGCCACCCCAGCTCCCAGTTGGCAGGGCCTGGGGTGGAGGGGGGTGAAGGCACCCAGAAACCGCGGGACTACATCATCCTTGCTATCCTGTCCTGCTTCTGCCCCATGTGGCCCGTCAACATCGTGGCCTTCGCTTATGCCGTCATGGTGAGCCTCAGGGGACCCTGGCCTCTGTCTGCTGTGGCTCTCTGCTTCCCGCCAGTGCTGGGTCAGAGCCCCAGGAGTGACTGAACCTTCCCTTCCCTCTCTGCATGGACCCACTTCCCAAATTACAGGGCCTTCATTTGCCTCTCCCCAGGACCTTCCCCTTGGTGGGAGGGATAGGAGCCCATCGCGCAGCCTCACTGACCTGTGCCCTCTTCACTCTGCCTTCCCAACCCTCCTTCCTCCCTTAACTCCGTGGGGCTGGCCTCTCTCCTCTGGACGACTTTCACCTGATCCCTGCTGGGCTGGCTTCTCCTTCACCCCCCACCCTAACCCCAGTCCCGGAACAGCCTGCAGCAAGGGGACGTGGATGGGGCCCAGCGCCTGGGCCGCGTAGCCAAGCTCTTAAGCATCGTGGCACTGGTGGGGGGGGTCCTCATCATCATCGCCTCCTGCGTCATCAACTTAGGCGGTGAGTGGGGTCGGGGGCAAGCAGGGGAGGAGCGGCAGGGTTGGCAAGGGCAGCTTTACTAACCCCTGCCCTGCTTTCTCCTGTCTGTCCTCCCTACTTCTTTGTCTCTCTCGTCTCTCCCCTTCCCTCCCCTGTCTCTGTGTCCTTCCCTGTCCTCTCCCACAGTGTATAAGTGAAGGGCCCTGCCCTGCATTCCAAGACTTTTTCTTCCTGTTGAGAGCTGCCTTGGGCCCATCCCTGGGGGGGGGGAGCCCAATCGATGGCCCTGGCCCCCATCCCTAGGGACCAAGGGAGCCTGAGCGGAGTTGTTTACAGCTTCTTTCAGGCTCCTGCATCCTGCCAGGCTCCTCTACCCACTGTAGGCCTCCAGTCTCCCTGCACTGTTTCCAGCTCCCCGCACTTTGCCTGCTGATACATCCCCTCCAGCCTCTTGGCCTTCCTAACCCTGCACTTCTGGAAGCCTCTGCACATCTCCCAGACTCCCAGACTCTGTGCTCTCAGCCCCAGGCCTCTCTCCCTGCACCTCCAGTCTCCCAGTTTCTCTGAACTTTAATCCTGGTCTCCTGCTCCCAACTTCCATTGTCTCCGCATCTAACCCCTCCCTCTCCTTCCTTTGATCGCTCACAACCCCCTTCCTCTTTCTGCCTCTTCCTCATCCCTTAGCATCCTCTTCTCCACTTTCCTGCCACCATTCTGCAAGATCTCCAGCACTTAGACCAGGCTGGGGAGGTGGAGAGGCGCCTGGAGAGGGTAGCCCGGGGTTCCGACTGTTCTCGCTGGGGTCCCGGACCTCCTACCCGCCCCCCCC